GGAAAAATTAGAATAAAAATCCAAATTTCTCCTTATAACTATGTAGATCAAAAGATCAAGTAAGTCAGTATCATGCGATATGTCCTAGGGTCGAGATGCATCGAATGGCTGGTGGCTGAGGGGGCTGTGGAATTTTGGAAGTACCCCAAACTTTTGTAATTAAACTAATGCCTTGCCAGCGTCGACAATGCCTGCTCGTACAATGTACGGGCTGTTTTCGGTGTTCAATGGGAGTTTCGCGGAATTGTGGCGAAACGGGCCTCAAATGAACACGATATCTATGGATATTCTAGAAGCAGGGCGGAGCATGGAATAGGGACCATTCTGATCTCTCTCTGGCGAGGAGTGGATGGAAGCGTGGCTGGCATCGCGCCGTTGTGGACCTCTCTGAATCCTTATATCGAATGGGCCTGCACGAGCAAGCGTTGTGTAAAAGTTACCTTCCAGCTACCCTGACGTGAGAGTCGAATGCATGGCTCACGCTTACACGTCAAATAAACAATTCTAATTCTTCTAATAATCTCCACCTTGTCCCTTGTTACCCCGGCATATGTCGAATGTTAATTGCTTCTGCCAGACGAGGTTGTTAGATGAAACCTTTTTATTGGCCTAGCGTTGGAATTCCGAAGAATGTTTTCTGAACTAGAAAGCCTGCCAAAAAAGTAAGGTTTTTCCAAAGAGGATCGATCACTTGAATCTTACTAGTTTTGCAAATGATTTCCTTTTTAGAAAAAAATGGTTTGTCGAAGCGTAAAAGCTGGCATTAAAGAGCCAGGTTCGAAGGAGCTCAACCATTGGAGACATTTTTCGAGCTGGAGGGCATCCAAAACATGCATAATTCTCGGTACTTCTTTTGAAAGAAGCCGTTGCTTGGATGAAGAGACTTCTCTTCCTTTTAGTCCGAAAACTAACTTGTTCCAAATCGTGAAGAGGGGAACAGTGCTTCAGGCGATGTAACGCCATAGCGACCGTTTTGCGTGAAGCAGTTTTTCCCAACCGCCATCACATCCTTCTGTGGGAGTGGCCGCAAGTGCCGTCTTCCACAACTTTATGATGTGCCCTGGGTGCTGTGCCACCTTATCACTGCTTTATTATCGCTGTCACACTTCTAGTTATCCAAACTGACTGTGACTGATTCCACCCACTTACCCAAGATTAGTAATTACTTTATCGAGTCCTGCATTAACTCTTATAGCGGTTTGCAGTGTCATGGACATGCTACGCTACCACAAATTCACAAGTGGTGCAGACTGGTTGGGCGAGTACGGTAATCCCGATGTGGAGAAGGACTTCCAATTCATCTTCAAGTCAGTTTGCTTGTCATCTCTAAGTTCAATCCAATAATCTGGGCAAGCGTCCTGCTCCTTTGATGAAGCGCTCCTTTCGAGGTGGCAAGGAGGAGTACGCCAACGAAGGACGCACAGTGTTGTATGACACAGCTTGTACTCCATGGAGAGGTGCTAGGCTGTTCTTTTTTTTTCGTCTCTCGTCTTTTTTTGTCTCTTGCTGTTCGACTGGCATTAGGATGCAGCACGCTCTTGCCAGCACGTTCGCTCTTGACCTGTGCAACCATAATTCCCAGCGAAAGTATTGGCACGCAGCTAGCTCTGGCATTAGAAAATAATGGCGCAAAGTATTTGCGAAATATTATACATAGGTGACTATCACGTTTCTTTTTGCATAGCTGAAGCGTGTATTGCTCACTGACCAGACACACAAGAACATCCAGCCACCACATGGCCCCATCTCCATTGCTACATACTCAGAAGTGATGAAGTAGAACACTATTTGGCAGCAACCCTACTGATCCCATCAATTGCAAAAGTTTAGATGAGGGCAGGAGGTGGTGTCGTGACAAATGCTGAGCACACCACTCGTGCGGGCCTGGATTCGAATGTCGGGTCGACTCCTGACCACGCTAACCAAGCTATCTTTCATTAGGGACGGTAAATTGGTACCAGATCCGTCAGGGTACGATTCTGAATGGAAGTAGAAGGTCGTATCCCAAACATGGATGCAGACTTCTCCTTATGGCCAAAAAGCATGTTTTAAAACTATCATTGAGGCCTTGATCGATTCACGCTCTAATTTCGACTTTTCAACAAGCACTGTTCCTAACCCTTGCCATTGGGTCAAGCTGGTAAGGCTGCGTTTATACTTTGCGGCAGCGTAGCGTAGCGCTTCCAGCGTACCCAGCGTCGCCAGCGTTTCTCCAGCGTTTCACCAGCGTTTTGCTAGCGTTTGCAGCGGCAGGGGAGTAGAGACTATGGGAGAGCTGGAGGGTACAAAACACATCGATTGCGCGTCTCTCACTCGCCCTCAGTCTCTACAATACACATCGATTCCGCGTCTCTGACGGCCACATAGTCTCTACAATACACATCGATTCCGCGTCTCTTACGGCCACATAGTCTCTACTCCCCTGCCGCTGCAAACGCCAGCAAAACGCTGGTGAAACGCTGGAGAAACGCTGGCGTACGCTAGCGTTACGCTGGTGACGCTGGGAGCGCTAGATCGATATCCATCCTCTCCCCGGCACTGCCGCTGGCGTACGCTGGAAGCGCTACGCTACGCTGCCGCAAAGTATAAACGCAGCCTAAGCTTACTGAATCACCTCACGGAGGTTCAAGTCAAAGGATGGGGAGACCGTAGATGTCATGAGAAGCTCCCATGTATCCACTAGCATTACTTCCACTCAATAGGAGAGGTTTAAAACTTGGTGGATGACTTCTTCAAGCAGTCGATCCCAGTAGCGCTCAATGCGATGCCCATTCACAAGGTCCAAATTCCCATCTCTTAATAGTTTAGATCAGTTTCAAGCAGCGGGAAGCACCATTGCTTGATCATATTATAAATATTATAAATAAATATAAACCACGAGTTTCGCTGCTCCTGCAATTCGAGACCCAGGATTGAGTGGAAAAAATGTTTGGTGTCAAACACTCACATGTGTGGGTACTCGGCACTGCATTTCAATGAAATAAAAATCGACAATCAGGAAACAGTAGGAGGGCAACCATAGCATATTGTTGGGCGGGGATTGTCTATCAAAAAGCATAGGCATAGAACACATTGAGAAAAATTCTCGCCCGTGATTGAAACGCGTCGTGACGAACCTCACTAACTCATTACCTCATTAATAGCTTATTTAAGGTATTCTCCTTTACATAATGTCAAATTCCCCAAAGATGGGCAATGGCCATCAACCTTATGATGACTGCTGATCATGATGACCGCGTTGTTCCAAGTCATACGTTGAAGTATGCGGCTACCTTGTATGAGAAGGTTAATTATTTTCTTTTCTTTCTTTTCTTGTCATGACTTGAAGTGGAAAGAAGAGTTGGTTGGAAAACATAACATTATGAGAGTACTCTTCTTTTGAAACAAAAAAAGCTGTGCAGTTTAAAACAAAGCTTCAGTACAGCAATAAAAATAATGGTAATGAAATAAAATCGTTGCTGGGAATGGGTTTTCGTAAGGTCGCAAACTCGCCTAGCAATTTCCGCCAAAAAAGGCACACAAATGTGTAAATCAACGAATGGGTATTCTGCAGGGATGGGTGGGCCGTTCCCATCGTCTATCGGATGCGATTATTACATTACTATTAGATTCGAGGCAGAGGTGCAGTGAGTCACAGGGTTGCTAGTGAACAGGAATCCACAGTGTGTGGATTACATAACAGTTTCTCTTGGCAACCACTGGCTTTTGCTTGTATAGTAGTTCGTGATGACTACCCACCTTTCTCTCGTTGTCACTCACTGCCTGATGTGCAGCAATGGCCATCTTGTAGTGCGGTGCCATCCTTTTGTCGATATGGCGGTCCAGAAAGAGGCATCGTACGCCGACAGTGACGGTTTTGTTCTTTGAATTAGGCCGTTCCAAAGCCAAAGTGCAAAAATATATTGCCATGATGATAATCCCCACTCAACTACTCATGACAGTCAGGCGGCCTCTCGTCGGCATTCATTGGAAGTCAATGTACAGGGGGGGGGGGGCAAAAAAAAGTCATTTCGGCCGAGCCACATATCAACGAAGTTTTCGCAGCCCAGACAGAGGAAGTGGATATGAGTACCAGGGCGGAAGATACCCAAGATCTTCCTCTATAAGCAGGAGCCGGCTGCCGCCATTCACCTTCATGTACACCAAAATATGAAGTCATCTCCAGTCGCGGCCTGAGTGGAGAACGCCTTTGGAATTCACGTGGCCTCCAAACAGCTGCGGAACTTCTTGAATGGAATCACCCATGGATAGCTACCTGGAGACCAGTACTCTTGATCTGCAAGACCTCCCACATCGAGCAGCTTCGCAACCGCTACGGTCTAGGACATCATCTTCACCGTATTCGCCGAGGCGCGAGTTGATGGTATGGACCGGGGTACCTGGAAAGGGGAAGACCGATATTTTCTTTGTAGACCCCGACTGAAGGTGAGCGCTGGCGGTTACATCAAGTAACTCGAGAAGAATATCCTCCCTACATGTGGTCGCCCGTACCTTCTTGGAGACCTTGTGCTGCTACAGGTTTGGGTGCCACCACATGGAATCGAAGGGTTTTGGAAAAACTCCCGCCTACTTCGAATGGAAGGGCGTTTCGTACCTGAAGAAGATGTAATATTGAAGTATGTCCCCTGACCTGAACCCACTCAATTACCTAGTTCGGGCGGACTTCAAGAGGGTGGTCTACGGTGGCGGAGAAATCGACTACCCCGCTGATCTCAGGTACCACATCGCGGTCGCGTGCCAGAATCTCTCGATGGCGCTCGTCCAGAAGGCTGTGGCGGAGTGTCGTGATAGTACTTAATATGCTCTTCAATATGGTAGTAAAGTCCGATCAGAATTTGATAAAGTATTTATAGCGCCTAATGAGGCAAAGTGACTTTCTTTTTGGCCCCCCTTTATGTGGGTCGAAGTTCAAGACCAGCCATATTTTTGCTAGGGCCGTTGTGCGTTTTCATAGTTTGGATAACGTTTTAGACAGAGAACATTGCTGATGTAGGCATTGAATTATTTGTACGTACGTTCGTGCTTCTCGAGGAAAAGAACACACCAAACACAACACACCAGTAGTACTCCTACCACCCGCGCGGTCCTAGGTTCAAATCCCGGGTCGACCTCCGCCTATACCGACCAGGCCTTCTACCGTGCGTGGACGGACAGTGAATTGGTGCCTGGCTCGTTAAAAAGAATACGAACACTGTCTTGTTCATCGGCTAGTCCCCGCAGCTCATTGAATAGGCCACTAGCCCTGGGGCACAAAAGTCGCTGATAGGCCTTCAGATCACGCCGTACGTTATGAATCCACACTGTACAGGGCCGTACTAGTCCTTATTCCTCCCCCCCCCCCCTTCCCCCCATGGGCCTCTCCTTCCATCCCAGGTAGGCGGCGCCGTAAAACTAACACTTCTAATAATAGTTGGTCAGAAGCGTCTTCATCCCCCTCCTCCCACGCCCAAGTGTGCAGAGTAGTGGAAGTATTCGGTAAGAGCGTTCGCCAGGTGTTACAGGGGATCCTACCAAAGAAGGGAGCTTTTTGGGATGGTTTTCAGCCGTGAACTTCCATCTAAAAATGGGTGTTGTGGACGGCTGATCTGAGCAAGCATTACTGAGCGCACTGTTTTAATGAGGGCACCTTCTGGAATTGATATAGGTGGGCGGAGTTGAGGAACGTCATATGCGTGCCGCTCATCTCAGCGATTTCCCTTGATCACCATGAAGAAAGCCGAAAGAGGGTGCGTGAATGGGTTGCTTCCCAGCCGCGCCTACTCAGTGATTTCGGTGTTGCCTTTCAATACAAAATTACACAAAAAAGAAGTGCAAAAATCTTTGCGCATTATTCATTTCTCTATAAAAAATTGTTGCAGGCCAAAAAACACAAACTCCAGACCAATCCACTTCTAGTACGTGTCGAGGTAAAAGCTGGTCATGGTAGAGGGAAACCTACTGCCAAAGAAGTGGGTTGATTTATGGGATAATGTTGATTTGGAACTTTGGAATCTATTTTCAGATAGCTGAATCTGTTGATATATACAGCTTCCTGCAGAGAGTCCTTAATATGGAATGGGTAGACTGATTTTGTTTTCGCTAGTCATACATGTTATTTTCAATGTTTCACCTCATTTCGAGAAAGTATTTTTTTTTAAAGAGACGCCTTCGGTTTCGCATGTTTGGTTGTTCAAGCTTGTCAACACTTGTTGCATTTTCAGTGGAGTTTCTTCGTGCCGATTCATGTCAGCCCTATTTCACGTAAGAGGTTCTACGGGAACACAGGTGATGAATATATTCACATTTCAATTGGGAGTTACTCTATACTCACTATACAGGGAGCGGCGCCAAAAAAGCCATTCTCTCCATGATTCTTCGACGTCTATAGTCATCACGTTTCATTAGATTCCTGACCAGGGCACTTTTACCACCCATTAAAAGAGCATATCAAATACTATCATTGACAGTCCCGCCACATCGTTCTGAGACAGGCGCGCATCGAAGACGGCCTCTTGGCCGAACAGCTGCCTCTTGCCTAACCTCTCACGCTACCATTACCGCCATTCTACACACTCACGCTGATTCTCTCCATCCTATCTCCCGTTCTTCCTGCGACTTACCACACTAATGAATTTCTCTCTTTCCCTCTCTCCTTAGTCTCCTCAACCTCCTTTTCCGCTCCATCTATTCATGCCGAATTAGTGGCGATTTATCCGCCACCTGACCACCCTACTCTAACTTCGCATAGTCGTTTCCGCACGACCCTTCACCCTCACCGAACGAATAGTTGAGCGGATTCAGGTCGCAGGTAACACTACATCGAAATATTTCCAATCTTCTTATAGTTTCAGCCCCCTTCCATTCCAAGTAGGCGAGTTTCCAACGCCCTTCGATTTCATGTGGTGGCACTCAATGCTGTAGCAGTACAAAGTTTCCAAGAAGGTACGGGCGACGACATGTGAGGAGGATATTCTTCACGAGTTGCTCAATGTAACCGCCAGCGCTCACCTTCAGTCCGGGGTCCACGAAGAAAATATTGGTCTTTCCATTCCAGGTACGTCCGGTCCATACCATCAACCCGCGCCTTGGCGACTGCGGTGAAGATGATGTCCTAGACCGTGGCGACGTTGTCGGAGCTGCTCGATGTTGGAGGTCATCCAGATCGAGAGTACTGGTCTCCAGGTAGCTATCCATGGGTGACTCCATACTAGAAGTTTCGCAGCTGTTTGGAGGTGACATGAATTCCAAAGGTCTTCTCCAGTCAGGCTGCGACTGGAGATGACTTCATATTTTGGTGTACATGAAGGTGATGGGCGAGAGCCAGCTCCTGCTTATAGAGGAACATCTTGGGTATCTTCCGCCCTGGTACTCGTATCCACGTCCTCTGTCTGGGCAGCGAAAACTTTGCTGATATGTGACTCGGTCGAAGTGACTTTTTTTTGCCCCCCCCCCTGTATGCCGTATGCGTTTGTATCGTGGAAATGTTTATTTTGCCTGACGTTTCCGACGGTATCGTCGTTATCAAAGGCCTGAAAGCATATCGAAACTCATGAAAGCTATCTATCCTGTTCAACCTGACCAGTTCTCAACTAGTTGCAACTCAGACCAAGAAACTACCAAGCAAGGGAACTCAAACCTCAGGTTACCTCTTCACTCCCACCAACATCAGCGATCTGCTCAGTTTCGAGCACGGAGACTCTAAAGACAATTCTTGTTCATTAGAAAATCATGCATAATTTTGAGGTTACTAAAGACAGAAGTTTGAGAGCACTTCCATACTTTGTGACTCTAGCAACTCAGTAGTCCGAGAAGAGGCACTGTGACTGATGAGCTGCACTGCCGCTGCTACTCCAACCATCTGTTTGTATACGGTGTATAGTTGATATCGTCGCAACCCGCTGGGGCGGTGCCACCGGATCAAGCCCACCCACGGCTGCGTTTTACTCTATTAGTGGGCGGTTCAAGAAGAAAACAGCCAGTGGTAGCGAAGGTCATGTGTGGCTCATTCCACGTCTCTCGTCGCATTCGACGATATCTGTTGCATACTTCCTGACCTTCTTCAGAAACTGATGTTGGAACTGCTGGGTCTCCAGTTGCGGAAGGCTTACATTCGTATCAGTCAGGATCATGACCGTGTATCTATCAGATCCGTATGAGCTTCATTGCGGTAGCGTACCCGAGTGGCACAGAGGACAGACTACCATCGCAGATTAGACTTTATAGAGTCAAATCCATTTGTGTTTCTGTTTTCTGGTAATTCACCATTGAGGTGGGGTGGATCCTTCATTATTGCTCGCTGGTACTTCGCCTCAGGGCTTGACCTGTTTGGTGTGACCTGGAGTCGCCATCGATAGAATGCCTAGACCTGAGCCTGAATATTTCAGTAAGCTGACACTATTGGAGCAAGCTGAAATAAAACACACGATCAAAACCTTTTGTTTGGAGAGTGGAGTCTGATCAACCTAGAAGGAGACGAAAATTCAATTGCGTGAAAGATCACAATTTCCGGCTGTCACATAGATATTTTAATGCGAACGTGGAATGAGCCACAAATGCCACAAGGGTCGTTTCTTTATGCATGACTAATTTAGAAACAAGTGGTAAACATGGACTTGGAGATGAACATAGCCTTGAATAAGACTGATCTCGCTAGGAGTCCCAGCCTTAGACTGCTATTAATGAGCCAAAGCTGCCACGATGCCTACACTCTCATAACGATCAGCATGAACATTAAT